AGTAAGGACCCTAATCCTGGCACTGCTGCTAATTCACTGAGAGATGGAGTAGTTTAAAGCACTCAAGGGACCACAAAATCTACACTTACATTTACTACTTGCTTCTATTAAGCCCACTGATATTGATGAGGATTCATTAGTCAATTACTTAGTTTTCCCACACTGAGGAAAAGCAGAGACAGCCACAGGGCAAGGCAGTGTATGAGTAAAGACTGGCTTATTGTTCTGTTGCCATACTTAGAAATGGTCAAATAGTTCATCTGTTTTAGGTAAAAGGAGAATAGTCTAGATTGAATCCTATTTTTCGTGCAATTGATACATGCCAAAGAGGTACCTTGGACAATTTTGGTTTTAAAATTCAAATGATGACTCTATGTCCCAGTCAATTATCCACAATGGAAGTATTTTCTACCTATTAGCTATGAATTCTAATTCTTGAGGAAGTCCTAAAAGTATTTCAATAGACATTAGTTGCTCTGCAAAAGAGTTAGGAAACAGAGCCAAGTGTAGGGGTGCACACATGTAATCTCAGAATTCTGTAGAGGAGACTGAAGAAAGAGCATCTTGAGTTCAAGGCGGCCTGGGCTATATAGAGAGCCCCTCTCTCAAAAATGGAAGGAAAGAAGGGGGGGCAGAAAAGAAGGAAGGGAGGGAAGGAGGGAGAGAGGGAGGGAAGGAGGGAGAGAGGGAGGGAGGGAGAAACAAGTATCTTGAGTCCCCACTCAAATCAAATCAAATCTCTCTCTCCCTCTCTCACACAGATACACACACATACACATAAAGTAATTTCATCCCACACTTACTTAGATGTATTGGTGTGTCATTCACTCAAAGAGTGACCTTAAATAGATCACTTAGCCACTCTGCTTTCGTTTTCTCTCCTGTTAAAACAAGGGACCTGGACTAGAGGCGTCAGGTTCCTATCAGCTCTACAGCTAAATCATCAGACCGTTCCATTAGACTACTTGCATAGTAACAAAGTTTAGTGTAATTCTCCAACCTGATCAAAGTTTTATTTCTGGAAAATAAGGGCCTTACAAAATAATCTCAAGGACTAAAAATAAAACTAATGAATAATTAGACAGTCTGACCCTTATCAAAGAAATTGCCAGAAATCATTGATAACACTACATTACCAATGTCAGAATTAATTAATTATGAAAAGAATTTGCCTTGTCACACTACTTTGCAAAAAAAAAAAAAAAAGGCCATTACAGTTCCTTTTTCTCCTTTCCTTTTACCCCCTTTTCTCTAAATGGTCGAAAGGAAATTTATCTTTTCCTCATGAGTAATAGTGTCATTGGTGAAAATGGTTGTTAAAGAGCGGCAAGCATGGAGCAAATCCCTGCCCAATAAAGCAGTGACTTTGAAAAGGAAATTGCCCTGCTTAAGTGATGGATTCTGTTTCGGCTGTCATGACCCAAGTTATGAGGGAGTACAGGGACTCAGGTCCTGCCCTCACAGGCCCAGCAGCTGCAAAACCCCACTGGGGCTCCAAGCAGACTCTGAATGGCCATAGGCTGACCCACCCGCCCCAGCCCCTCCACAGGCTGCAGCCTTTCATGGCCACAGAGACTGAGCAAGAAGATGTGTGCATGGTGCATGAGTCTCCCCACTCCCCCAGACCCCTCTTAGCTATCCTGAAACACCCCCTCACACCCTCCTCTCAGGGTGCCCACCCCAGTCAAGGCCTACTTTGAGTTCCACAGCCTCATGCTACCCCATATTACTATTATGTTATTTTATGCTTATGTTTTCTCTTTCCAGGGATCGTAAGATCCTGGAGCACAGACAGCACTGCCTACCCAAACATCTTTCAGTTAGAGGTCTGGACGAATGCTGATAAAGACAAGGATATGGGTGAGATAGAAGTCAGCAGGACTTTGCATCATTCTCCTCAAAGAAGTGATGACACATGTGAACAACGCTTGTTCTCTCTGATCCTCAGGCAAGGTTCTCTGGATGAAAAGCTGAGACCTGGGGACAAGGTGAGCATTCATAGCTGCCATTGTTACTTTATTAGAGTTCAAGATTGTTCTCTCAGGACTTCGCTGAGGAAGATCTACAAATGCAATGTACCTCTGTGTCCTTGAGATGGAACCTCGGAGGTGTGGGAGCCCACACTTTCAGCTTTTTGGGCCTGGAGATTGTGACGTGGACCATCCCCTTTGTCTCCAAGACGCCAAATGCTTTCTTCTTGCTTGAAGTGGTCACTTCAGAAAGAACTTGCTCTACATTCATGTGTATGTCGTAATCTGAACATAAATGTTCTTTCAAAACTAAGGAACACTTGCCTTAATTCTAAATTAAATGTTACTGTTTCGTTTCTATTGCTATTGAATAAAATTAGGAGTATTAGAAAAGAATTTCATGTTTTGGGAGAGTCTTAGTCCTAAAATCCGTTAAAATACAGCAAGTTTCTTGGTTTTACTTTCAAAAGGAATCATAAAATGATTGCAACCATTGAAAAAATAAAGTCAGTGATAAACTTAGGGAGCGTTTAAAGACTATTGTGTCCTGAAGTCGAGCACGATGGGTACATCTGTTATCCCAACTACTCAAAAGGGAGAGGCAGGGCTGTGGTCCAGGCTGGTCTGGGCAAAAGTGGGAGACCCTACCTGATAAACAAACCAAAGCAAAAAAAAGACTGGAGGTGCAGATGACGTGGTAAAGTGCTTGCCTAGCAAGTGTAAGACCCTGAGTTCAAATCCCAGTAACACCAAAAGAAAAAAAATCACCTCCTGGATGCCACCCCTGAACAGATGCTGATTTAATTGCCCTGGAGAAGGCCTAAGTCTGGGTATTTTTTTGAAATCTCCCATGAGTGATAGGAAGATCAGACTCCTCTTCATGAGCACCTTGAGTGTACTTTTCTTAGAGTAGTTATCATTTATACTGTACCACGATTACTGTGTGCAGGGCTATCCCTTCTTATAGACAGTGCACTTATGAAGGCCCAGGAGTTGTATCTTATTTACTGGAGTCTTTTAGTGGACACAGGGCCATTAGAACTCCAAGTGACTGCCATTAACACAGCTCCTTCTGAGGGAACAGTCACTGTGGAGAGAAGGTAGAAAGGAACCCTGGGAGGTTTCTCTGGCAAAGTGGGGTCAGGCTCTATACCTTGTGGTGCCAAGAACTTGGACACAAATGATTGGCCCAGGAATTGTACCTGACCTAAGGTCTGCCAGTCTACCGGGTGACCAGCCAGTCCAGCTCAAGCACGTGGTGAGTGCCAGCAGAGGGGAGGGGGCAGTGATTAGATCCTTTCACTAAAAGAGTTTAGATGTGAGATCAACAGAGAGCTGAGCAGTTGGTGGCAAGAGCAGAAGCCAAACAACACCCGGAGGAAAACAGGGAGAGAGAGCAGCTGAATTACCTTGGCGGCTAAGCCTGTTAGTAGGGACCGGCAGATGCCTGCTGCTGAGGGGGCAGCAAGAAAACCCAGCCCCAGAGCTGTATCCTGAATGACCTTCCAGTTTCGTGAGGCCTGGCTGGGTGGCCTTTCCGGAAGGCTTTTCAGAGACACGTGGTTGAGTGGTGGAGATTCCGGTCAGCCTTCCTTCCACAGTGAACTCCCATTGCTCAGGGATAACTTAGTGGCGTCTGCTCCTTGCAGTCACCCTAAGCCCCATCACCACAATTCCCAGTCTAGCGCTTTCCCTGGCACACAGCAAGTCCTGAATAACTGCAGGTGCTAGGGCAGCGTGAGCACCTCCAGTGAAAAAAGCCTTATGAAGAAATCATTCATGGTAAAACGGAGATTGGGATCACTTCAAATTCCAAAAGCAATGCTAAACTTGGATAAATATATTAATCTTATGCTGTCTTCCCATTCCCAAATCCATTTATACTGGATGGATCTATCAAAGGAAATGGCAGAGTCTACCAACTGCTGAGAGAATCCCTGATTTCAGGTAAAGTATGTTGAGATGACTTAGTTTTCACTTCATTTGATCTTAAGTCACACTAATGTTAGTAAGAACAATTTTCCGCCCACACTAACTTCACCGACAAACCTCCAAAGTAGCTGATCTTTGACTTTAAGCCGTTTAATAATATGTGATCTTCCCCCCACATTGCCACACTTTCCCCTGTCTATTGTCTGTGTCAGCTACTTGAAGAACACACACTCCCCAACAACCGGATGAGTCACAAAATGAGAGGTACATGGATGTAAACCGAGCCTGTTTACACTTTCCCTGTCCCCAACTAATAAAATAAAACACGTCCCACTGAACTCAGGGCCAGTGGCTTCCAGAAAACAGGTTTCTACTCAGCAAAGCCATAGCTTGTATAGTACATTGATTCAAAGGCAGAGCTAATTCCATGCCCCATGTGACTGGAACGTATTTATGGTTATAGCCGTGCACAGGGGTGTGTAAGGACTTGCCCTCCTCACGTCCTTTACAAAGAAGGCTCCCGGCTGCTTCTGGTGGTGAGCTAACCAACAAAAGGAATGCCGAAAGGTCTCGCTTCTCCCATTCACAGAGCCCTGGAATGGGGGCTGGGTCCCTCTCCCTGGAAACTCAGCACCCAAGGGGGTGCAGGTTTCCCAGCTGCATTTTCAAAAGTCTGGATAAAAGCAGGTTTTGCCCAACCTCTCCTGACCTCTTCCGGATAAAGTGATCTTGCGCCTCTGGAATCGGGATTTTGAATGTATGTGCCTACCCCATGTCTGGTGTTATATTACAACAGCATGAAAATGGAGCCTAGGACCGAGAAGCCGGCCGGCCTCAGAAGCCTTCTTCATTGCCTGCCATGTAATACATGGTATGCAAAGCCTCTGACTTCAGCCAGCAGATATTTGGAGACCGTGTTGGCCCTAGCATGAGGACTAAACTAATGTGTGTTTAGGTCAGAAAGCGAATCAGAAAAGCCACTGGAGGGCACGTCACGGAGTGAGAGCCCTATAAATGCGTCCCCACTCGCCGCGTCCCCTGGCAAACACTCGGCTTTCCCTGCCTGTGCCACTGCACATCTCCCCTCCTTGGTGCTAGGAGAACTCCAGCAGGCAGCTCCTCTTGTCGCCGCTGCCTTCCGCCCCGCAGGCCAGCGAGAGGGCGCGACACCCGAGGAGAAAGGAACGCCTTCGACAGGCGCGAGGGGAGCCGGGTGTAGCCCTCCAGCAGGCACAGCGCCCTCCCTCCGAGCGCGCGGCGCAGAGGCCAAGTTCGCATTGCCCCCTTCGACTGGTGCGAGCCGCGCTCCGCACATTCCTCCGGACCCACCCGGCCAGGACAAGGCGCGAGCCCCGCGGCGTCTCCAAGCGCTCAGCGCACTCCCTGCACCCCGGCGAGGGGCGCCTCGCGTCACCCACTCGGACCCCGCGCCCCCGCCTCGGGAGCTCCGGCGCCTCCTCGCGGCTCTCCTCTGCTCCCCCCACCGCAGGGCTAGCCGCAGCCTCCGGACCCCTCCCCCCACCCGGGGCCCCGCGCCTCCCCTCCCCCACCCCGGCCCCCCGGCCCGGGCTCTCCACGACCAGCCTGCGCTCCTGGCGCCCTCATGTCTTCAAGGGACAGCCCGCGCGAATTGACGTGGTGTCTCGTTCGGATCTCCAGGCAAGACCTCAGCTCCCGCGGCAGCATCAGACAGGCCCGTCTCGTACTCGCAGCCACTGCGCCCCGAGAAGGCGCGGAGTGTGGCCGCAGCCACTGAGTCGCCCGCGGCGCCCGGGCCCCCTTGCAGCCCCAGCCCAGAGCGCGGCGCGCGCAGCCGTGTCACCCCCCACCCGAGACAAGGGCGGCTGCTCGGACTTCGGCTACTGGGGGTGCCGGAGGCCCGCGGGAGAGGTGTCGGCAGCCCTCGCCCTGCTCGCGGCGGCGGCGGCTGGGACCTTGGCCGCCGCCTCCTGCTTGCCCTCGCTGCCCCGCACGACCCCAGAATTGAAAACGCTTGCCCCTGACCTGTTGAGCGGGGCTCCGCGCTCCTGCCCTCGGCCCGGATGGGTCTCCTGGCTGGGACTCCGGCCACCTGGAGTTAATGTCCAACCGGGGGTCTGCGGAGACCGGATCCGAGGTAAGTAAGAGAGCGGGCTGGGGTCGCAGGGGCGGGGGGCGGGCGGATGCTGGGCGCCTAAGGCAGAAGAAGGGTGCGGCTGGACCAGAGCGGGCGCTGAGAGTGGAAAGCAAAAAGGCTCCAAGGAACCGAGACTCAGGGAGGACGGAGGAGAGAGAAGTAGAGCGGGAGAGAGGCTCGCCTTGCGGAGGGACAGGTTGCCCTTTCCACGCGGGCAAAGTTCTGTGGGGCCCCTGATGCCCGTGGATCCTAGATGCCTGAGAGGGGCACTTTCCCTCCCCAGCTTGGCAGGACGCGCTTCTGGTCATGTCCCAGAACGGTGCAGGACTTTGGTCACCTTTGAACCCTCTACCGACAGTGTCTTTTCCTGACGTGCAGCTGCAGAGATATTATCGTTGTCAAGAGTGTGACTTACTATTGAGATTTTTTGGTCTGTTCCGAGGGAAAGTGCAGGCGGGGTGGGGGGGGAGAGGGTCGGGAGAGGGGAGAGTGCTGCAAAGTGCTGAGAACCCAAAAACGCAGGGCTCACCCCCTCCAGGCAAGGTTTTGCAAAGCTACATTCCTGCCCTTTCTGAGCCCTTACTTGGCCTTTCCTAATGTCCTCATCCCCACAGAAGTTAGGACCGAGGCTCCTTGGACACATGCGGCCTCAGGGCTCCATCAAAGTCTCCGCTGAGCCTCTTTCTCCTGTACTCTGTGCCTCCCCCCAGTTGCACCCCCATCACCAGTGCTTTGCACTACCTCGGGGCTGACTCCGCGTGGGTTGGTTCCCAACCCCACTCAGTGAAAAGGATCCCACGAATCCAGGAGGGACCTGATTTTTCACGGGGTCCCCCCAGCCTCCTGGCGCCAGTGGCAGAATCCGCCTGCAGAGCCCCTGAGCGCGCACTGGGAGGACTGTCCAGCCTGGAGCTCACCACATTTGTGTTCACGGGCGGAGACAAGCACAGCTCTCCCGCCCCTGCTGCGGGTATGTTAGAGCACTGGGCTACATCTTCCTCCATATTTTGAATGTATACTTAAGTGTTTCAAGAAAGAGATGCAATTTCCACACACACCCCCGCGCGCGCGCACCCCTCCCGCAAAGCCCTCAAAGTGGGATCAGTTGGGTCTCCTTCTTGCCCTGACCAAGTCCTCACTGTTTCACTGCGCCTTCTCTTTGATGGGGGAAGTGTCGCCTTTTCAACAAGTGACAAGTGTCGGGTGTCCAGGAAGCCCACCGCGTCCCTAGCCCACTCCCTCAGGAGATTCCAGTGCTCCGGGGTCTGGAACCCAGCCTTGCGTCCTCTGACAGACAAATCGCCCTCTCAGCTGGCTTGCCTGAAGCATCCTTTTTTTTTTTTTTTTTTTTCTTTCTCTCTCTCTCGTCTTTGGCCTGGCAGTTACTGGGGATGAAGAAGAGTGTTAAGTCTCCATCAGTCAGTGACACTAGGCACAATGAAGCAAAGCAATACCTCTTAGTAATTTCTGTGTCTACCCCTAAAGAAAACCCTCGGGTTTACAGCGAACCCCTCTCCCCACCCCACCGCCTCCTTCCCCCCCACCTCCCTGAAACCTGGATCTTGAAGGCAAAGCCCAAACAAACCTCCCAGCCTGCCAGCACAAGAAGGTGCGGGGGCACTGGTGGCAGGAGCGCTCACTCGCTGCGAAGCTGTCTCGGTGACGAGAGGAAGAGGGTGTCTAGAAGCAGGTTGCCAAGAAACCACCTCAGGTGAAGTGGGAAGAGAGAAAGTAGGGAGAAAGAATGGAGGGGTAGAAGGCCTGTAAAAGCAGGGATGCCTGTGAGGACAGCCACAGGTTCCCGGGCTAATTCGGATGTAGGGAGGATCGGAGAGGGAGTGGTTGGTTGTTCTCTGGTTTTATACTTAAAATGTCAACGCAGCTTCCCCGCCGCGTGGGCACCGCGGGACTCGGTCGGTTTCTGGTGCCCCCTGGTGCCGGGAACTCAGAATTGACAAGCCGCGGCTTCGCAGACTCTACTCCGGCTTTCCTGGGCGTCCTTTCCGCCCCAGGCCTGGGGATCCGCCAGGTGCCGGCGCCCATGACGCGCACCATTTACCCTGCCAGGGTGCGTTAGTCCCCGACCCAGAGGAGAACCAGCCTGCCAGGCGCAAGAGAGAGTGCGGTGTCACCTGGCTGTGCCTACGTGGGGAGGAAAGCTCGGTTCCCGCACATGGCAGCGCGTTGGGCTATTCGCACGCTTAGCAAAGGCCGAGCGTTGCGGGAGGACGCGTCCGGCAGATGTGATCTGGAAAAAGCGATCGACAAACAGGAAGCGGCGGGGTGGGGCCCAGATGGGCTCTGAGAAGAAAGTCCCAGTAGATCGCTCTGTGCACGGTGACCCCAGACGCCCGCCCCATCTTCTGCCTCCCAGCAAATACCGGGAACTAAAAAGCCACAGGAGCTGGAGCCGCTCCCTGCAACACTCGCAGGGAAGAATGCGCCCGCCCCGCCCGCCCGGGCGGAGGAAGGAAGCGCTTTCGGGGCGCTCGCGGCACCCGCCTAGGATGGGAACGGGAGCCTCCTCTGGCGAGGCGGGGAGTGTTCAGCGTTTCCTCTTTTGCCAGCTTCGCCACACTTCTAATTGAGGCTCTCCACGTCCAATTTAAAAAGCCCTCTCCGTTGGCCAAGCGGGAAAAAAGGGAAAACCCTCTTAATGCGGAAGGGAAATCTGGTGCCCCTGCCGCTTCCTGCTGGCGGGCACCGCGATTTGGGATGGCGCATTAACCCCGCGCCTCCCTGCCTGTCGGGACCGCCAGCCATTTCGCACGCACCCAGGAGCTGGCAGAGCTCCCTGCGGGCGAGAGGCCTCGCGTTCCCCTGCTCCCCGTTGCCAAAGCGCCTCTCTGCGCTCATTTTGCACGGCCTGGTAGTTTTCCTGGGCCTGCGCGCGGGGACCCGGAGACGTCGCTTTTTCCCGGGTTTGCGAGCCAGCCCGCACAGCCAGAGGCGCTCGGAGCTGCTGGTCGCTTGGAGTTTCTAGTCCCTACCCAGTCTCCGAGCCCAACAGCTGCATAGAGAACAGAAACCCAAGGGATGGAAAATGCATTCGTCTCCGCAGCGGTGGGAGGTGGCGGCCGAATTAAACGCTTGCCAGGGTGGCCTGCATAGGGGTCGGGGCTGGTGTTCTGGGTGGAGACTAGGGCGTGGGGTTAGCGGGCGCACCTGGGAGCTAGCAGAGAGGAAAGGTGCCGGAGGTGTTTTTTGCATTCACCTGGAAACTGTTTATTCCTTCGGCGGGAAGCAATTCAAGTTTTTCCTAACAGTTCGTTTGAGAGAAATGGGGAATGATCAGCTGCATGAATCAACTAGTTTGAGAGTTGTCTCCAGTCAGTAGACTCTGGAGACTAGAACACTGAGATTTGTAAGGACAGGGTAGCACCATTCCCAGAGGTGCCTCGGTCCCTCCCCATCTCCCTGGGTGGGGCTTAGCCAAGTTTACTGCGTCTTTTTCTTGCCCACCCACGAATGCGTGGTCCTCCTTTCTACGGGTTTGAGGATCAGAAGTCCAAAGGACCCCCTCGCTGAGAAGAGCTGACTCCCACCCTCGCCACACTCTAACCTAGGCCTTCTGGTGCCGGCGCGCTCCTGCTCCTCCGACGCGTTGTCCGGGTCCTGGCGAGAAGGCGCAGGGAACTAGCGACTTCTTTTCGAGGAAAGGGATTAGGGTCAGAATCTCATCAAGCTGCAAAAAATCCAGAGTTCTCGGGTATAGCACAGAAGATTAAAATTTTCAAAACATATGCAATGCCTGCCTGACGGCAATGGTAAAACATTTATTGAGTGCTTTGTGCCACGCTGGTGCTTTTCATGCGTTATTTAATGTTCATAAATTTAAGAGGTGGGACCGGTATTTTAAGCGAGGTTGATGCTTCGGGAGTTAACTAACTTAACCAAGGCATTTCCACACAGGCCCAAAGTCTCCAAGTCCCTACTAACTTGTTCTTGGCAATAAAATAGTTATTAAGATGGGAAGACTGAAGCGTAGGCGGCTGGGCGAGTGGTTCCTGCTGCCGCCTAGTTGGGAGGAGGATCACAACCCGGACCGAGGGGTGCGCTTGATTTTATTCCCAAAGGGAAAAGCCAGTTGCTTTGCTGGGGTCGAGGACCGGCTGCCGGGGCCTCTGGAAGCTGCCAGGAGGGAGGAAGGTCCCTGGTTGAGGTTGAGGACTCAGGATGGGGACTACCAGATTGCACCCCTCCCTAGGGAATGGGGAGGGCCACGCGCCAGGAGAGAGGACAGGCCAGGAATCCCAGTGTCGCCGTGTTGTGGAGGTTGCCGGCCCTGTTCAAAAATCTTACTCCTGAGACCCGGCAGCCGAGGAGGTCAGCTGCGGCCTGGACGGGGAGTGCAGCTGCACCTGGGACGCACCAGGGAGAGGGAGCGAGAGGGACCTGGAAAGGAAGGCGGGGTGCTCAGGGAACCGCAGGCCTGCAGCGGTGCGGGAGGAGGGCAGTGACTAGTTTGGAGAGGGCACTGGAACCCGCGGGGAGGCCGTGGCCCTTGGCGCCCTAGCCTAATTTGGATTCTACGGTTCTCTCCCCCGCCGGCTCGCACAGGTGCCGCCGCCGGACGGGACTCTAAGATGAAGTTATGGGATGTCGTGGCTGTCTGCCTGGTGCTGCTCCACACCGCGTCCGCCTTCCCGCTGCCCGCCGGTAAGAGGCTTCCCGAGGCGCCCGCCGAAGACCGCTCCCTCGGCCGCAGCCGCGCGCCCTTCGCGCTGAGCCGTGACTGTAAGAACCGTTCCCTCCCCGCGGGGGGCCGCTGGCGACCCCCCGGCACCCCCACCCGCCGCACGCACGCACCCCAGGCCGGCCCGGGAAGGCTTTGTGCCTCTGGACCCGCGCGCCGCAAGGCGGCCGGGCGCTGAAGCCCTCTAGGGGTGCGTGGCTGCCCACTGCTGCCCAAGGGCGCCAGACGCCTTGCCTGTAAGTGACAAGGACGGTTGATCCAACACAGAGGTATGGAGTGCTGTCCCTTTCGCATTCCGATGAACAAATATTCTCCCACCACTACAACACACGCAAGTCCCCTTTTCTCCCACCCCGCATCATATATTCGCACCCCCGTTTTTTCTTTCTTCCATAGCCCTTTATCTGCTTTGCTGTACCTGGCCGTGCTTAATTCTGAAAACGTTTGCACTTTCATCCTAAACTGCGCCTGCATGGCAGGGTTTTCACAAAACCAAGCCAGAGACAGAAAAAAATCCAGAGAGGCCTCGATTTCCAGAACAAGCATCTGGGGAGTGTCAAATCTGTTCAGAAAAGTTCCGGTTCTAGAAAGACTTAAGGATAAATAGTGCAGGCTGAGACGGGGAAGAAGCTGAAGTCCAAGACACGTGTGACAATGCTAGCTCTTAAGGTAACAACGGGTTATTCTTATTAGAAAACAAGGCAGTGATTTATGGCTCAGAAATTAACATGTTCAAAAAGCAAACCGATGGGAGCATGGCAACTGTGATTTGCTGTAACTTACCCTCCACTGCTCAGAAGTTTTATCTGTTGCGTGAAGGGAGGCTGTGAGATCACAAGCTATAGAGATTATTAGGAGGTATCTAGGTGACAAAGGCGGTAGTAGAAAAGTTGGCACAACCCCCAAATAAAGCAACAGAGAGCTGTACGTAGCCAGGGCACCACACTGGCTCCTCCCCCCTCCATGTTCTACCTCCAGCTATTTTGCACTTGAAACAAACCTGTGGCCATAACCACAGTAGAAGCAGCCCAGCAGAAGTCAGGCTGGTGCTAAGAATCCCCTAAACTTGCTGGCCTTGGGCTAGGAAGCAACCCATGAAATGTGATATGCTTATTTTGTGCCTAATTACAGTAATGACAACAAGCATCTTCTTGCACAAATGGCAAGAAAGAGGAAAAAGTGCATTTTTATAAGAATTTCAAGAGTGACAGGGTTAGAAAGAAAGCACAGGAGATCCCTTAAAATTCAAGTACCTGTTCCAAGAGGTACTATCAGTCAATTTCATAAACCTATCTTTAAAGGCTTTCATTTCAGACCCAAACTTACTGTGTATAAATGTTTCTCCGATCAAAATTAAATTTAAAATACCCTCCCTGCCATTATTGTCACATCCTTGCAGCAGGGGAGTCCAGAGGGACAGGAATACAACAGTAACAGTTCTGTAACTCAGATGTCAATGGAGAAAAAAATGATTGTCTGATTACACAGCTGATGAATTCATGGAGGTTTAATTGCCATACCCGGTCTACCTGGGCTTGTTAAATACTGGCTCCTGGTTCTAACTCTGCTTTAAAGTGACTCTGTGACTTTGAACAAATAACTTACATTAGAACTTGGTGAACAGTTTACAATTGTCCAATAAAGGAAGGCCTCTCTGCTCCAAAATGCCAGTGGCTATGAACATATCTGTCATACCTGTCCTTTGGGAAGAGACTCTTAAGAAGAGACTGGAATGGCCTGGGGGAATTTTAAAAGCTACAGAAGCTGGGCCTCACCCCAGGAAATTCTATTTAATTGGCTTGGAGAGTGGCCTGGGGATGTGGACTTTTAGGTGTTACCCAGGTAGGTCTAATGTGTACTCAGGGTTGAATCACTATAGCTTCATGAACCTAAGAAAATCTGTGGCTCCTATAAGGTACAACCAGCCCCAAAGCAAGCAAGTCAGCATCAATCCCAGTGATGGTAAGGGGTTGAGCATGACATGGGGGAGGAGGATTATTTCCCTTTTCCCAAACTGATGCTAAATCATCAATGGACAAGACTCCAACCATTCTGTTTGCATTCAAACCAGCAGAACTCACCCAATTCTGCTTTACTTATGGGAAGACCTAGATGCTAGAGGAAACCCGACAGAGAAATGTTCCCAAAGAGAAACTGAGCTGCATTCAAAGCCAAATTGACTTCTTTCCAGGTATGTTCAATTCGGTAGCAAGCTGTCAGTGCAGGGAAGGCAAAATAATGACAGTGTGCAGACTTTGAACACTCAACCAGTGTCAACACGCACCTGACACTGTGCTGACATTTATATCCTGCACTGTACACAGTGCAACTGGCTGAGGCTGATGGAGAAAAACATTAAGTCATTGCATTTCATTTGAAAATAGAAAGTACCATAAATTCTGGCCCTCTAGTTCCCTTCAGATGCTTAGTGATTAAGCAAAAGAGCTTTTGTCACATAAACAGTTATATGTGCTCTTCAAAGGGGGCTGACACTGTACTGGTTCCCCATACTCACCCTGGAGATTGCATGTGTCCTGCTGGTTCTAATGCAAATGAAGTGTCCAGAATTCTATTCCTATGTATAAGAACTAAGCAAAGAGGATTCATTGTTGGCTAACTTGCTTGCCTGGAGGTGGGCTTTGAAGTAAATGGCCCATGGCTGCCTCCTGCAGCAACTTCTAACTTATCTAAAGCTCAGAGAGAGACATCTCTGATCTGTCTTTGGGGGCATCCAAGACTTTTCTTTTGGCCACTGTCTTCTCCAAGGTGGGGATTTAGAGACTGTTCAAGGAGTCTATAAGGTGAAACTCACAGATGCCATAGCATTTTAAAGCTGGTTCTGAGATGAAGAAAGTAAAAGCAACTTGTTCAAAGTAGCAGTGGCCACGATGGCAGGAGGTAGGGCTACTGCCACTGAGACTAGGAGGAATGGCTTCAACTAACAACTAAGACCTGCTGTAAAGGATTTTCTGAGATCATTGCAGTCTTATTCCACATTTCAACACTGAGTCTAGTTTATAACTAAAAGCGTAAAGTACATGTGATTTTAATTTTTTGTGATCTAAATGCACATATTCATTCAGCAAACAGTTAATGTATGCCTGTTTGTGCCAGGCACTGCCCTGGCTCCTGTCTTCGTGTATCATACTTTCCAGTGAATGTGCACCTGCTGTACATGTGAAAGAGTAAACATGAAGGAAACTTGGGATGATACGTTGGGCTTAACTTTTTGTGATTGGAAGCCAAATAGAGCAGACAATTGTTAAATTGTAATTACAAGTAATTTCCTAATTGTACTATAATAAGATTGTAACCCAACAATTTGGTCATACATAAAATTTCCTATAGAAATAATCTTTTAAGTCAAGCTATCAACTGTTCAGGCTAGTCCATAAAAGCCTGTATGAATAAACCATTGTGTGACTGAACTGTAACTCACAGATTATCAGAAGAATCTCTTCCCTCCATGCCATGCCCCATAATCTACAGAAGGAGAGCATGGAGCAAGAAGTCAAAGGTGGGGGTCAAAGAAAGCACTCAGATCAGACTAGCGTCTGTACCCCAACCTTGCCACTTAACTGGGTGTGACTTCACATCTTTTATATCTCTGTGTCCTCATCTGTAAAACAGGATAATATTAAATGTACCTGAGCATTAATTGAGATATTGCTTTGGAATGCCTGCAGGCCATAAATACAGCTTACAGTTGATATTTGTATCCTCCTATTTCCAGTGGCTCCTTACCAGGCATCCAATGAACTCCAATCTGCCATAGCTTCTGCCAGGACACCACTCTAAATGGCAGAATTTCAAGCAGCATGACATAGTACAGACAGTGAGAGAAATGCAGGCCTTTGGAGGAAGGCTATTTTGGGTCCCATGGTCAGTTGGTCAGCACATAGGGAGGCCAGCCTTGCCTGGGATTCTGCCCCTGGGTCAGCCGCCTCTGGCCCTTCCCAGGTTTCACAAATCTGTCCCTTCCCCAATTTAATTGCTGAGCCCCACATACTTCTATGGGATTTTTCCCACCAGACTGCCATGGTCACGTGAAGGAGACCACCTTCCTGCCTGGTGCAAAAGGGTCCCTGGCAGGGTATACTCTCTTGTGTATGTGATAAGGGTGGGTGAGTTTGAGGCCACCCCTACTGACAGAGAGCATTCTGTTTTTATTGATTCCATTTGAACATTTAATTTAAAATGCTCCATAAACCTACCCAGCAAAAACCAAAAAAATAACTTTTTTATTAAACTGTAGTAACGTTCAGCCCACCACTGTACAGCTGAGGAAGCTTCTAGTGCTGAGTACATGTTACACTTTCAAATCAAATTATAAGACACGAATTCTAACTAAATAAGCACTATCCAGTTGCCTCAGACTGTGTGGAGGAGCAAATACTATAAAACACCACGCAAACTGAAAAGGGGCTCTGCCACCTGGAAAGAGTCTCTTGGCATTAAGAAAGTGCTCATCTCTTTTAGGAAACACAGATCCTTTACTTGACCCCAGTCTGTCCATGCAGTTGAGGCTCACTGTGAATTGACCAATCTGAAGACATCACACTTAAAAGGGTGGCATGTATCTAATTCAAAAATGAAAGCTGTCTGGCACTCTCATGTCTCTTTGATCTCTTTTCTTTAGCACTTATTCTACAGTGATGAAATTCTTATTCTACAATTACTCACTCGAGCTCAGTCAAGAAGAAGTGTTAAATACACTTCGGTGCTAGGTGCTGTACAGCATTCAAAAGGCAAAACTGAGAACTTTAAGGAGCTTGTGATCTAGCTGTAAACTACCGCAGGTGGATTGTTGGATGGCAAACTGTCAATCATATAGGTAGGGATGGCTGTTGTGAGGGATTTATACAGAGAATTCCTACCAATTCAGTCACTGGGATTTGAAGATCAGAGCAGGGAAGAATTCAGGAAAGGAGGATTTGAACTGGTGCTTGGAAGGTGGGTATTGAGAAGGAAAAGGAAAGGGGAACATTACAGTAGGATTATATAGGTGATTATGCAAGGCTGTAAGATCCAGGAAAAGAAGGGCTTTGCTGTTTTCTGGAGCAGTGGAGCAGCCAGAGGCAGCAAGGAAGATCTTGCTTCAAAACTGTCTTGCAGGTTGTTCACGAATGGGTTTTATGGCATAGGCATATTTTTCATTTTGCCATATTGTGCCTTTAT